GGTTCTGGGTGATGTCCGTTCCGTCTTTTAGTTGTAATTTTGAAGTGGTTGTTTGCGGCAGCAGTCTGCGGTGTTTACCTATGCCGCCATCTTGGTCTCTCCCAACACTTTTTTTTTTAACTTAAGAATTTTTTCAGTAATTAACTTTGCACGTTTTATATATTAGTCATACGTCAAAACACATATTTTTGTTAATTTCTTTTCAAATGTGGTATTAGACCATACATATGATGGGGAAAAAATAAGATGAAATGTAATTTTATTTTTAGGTTACTATAGCATAATGCTTGGAAAGTATGAAGTCCTATTAATATATACCATACCATCATGGCAGTATAATGCTGTTTACCTTTTTAGGTCCATATTTTCTTCATTAAAAAATGTTGTATTTTGAAATGATTTTAACCTTACAGATATGGCAAGAACAGTAAAAAGAACTCCCACTTCTGTAGTAAACATTTGGTTACATTTGTCTATATATCTCTATCTCTATTATAATAGAGATAGAGATATATAGACAAATGTAACCAAATGTTTACTACAGAAGAGGGAGTTCTTTTTACTGTTCTTGCAATATCTGTAAGGTTAAAATCATTTCAAAATACAACACTTTTTAATGAAGAAAATATGAACCTGATTTCAGAGAGGAAGGGAGGGGAGAGAGATAGAAACCTCAACGATGAGAGAGAATTATTGATAGGCTGCTCTTGCATGCCCCCTATTGGGGATCCAGCCTGAAACCCAAGCATGTGCCCTGACCAGGAATCTAACCATGACCCCCTGGTTCATAGGTCGATGCTCAACCTCTGAGCTACACCAGCAGGGCAGAAATTGCTTTAATCTTGCTCTCAGATTAACTGGACAGTGATTTACTGCATATGGCAACTGCTCAAGGATGAACATTTCTTTTGAGTTTTAGTGTCATTTCTTGTAGTATATGTGTATGCATCACACAGCTAAAGTGTTCTATGCAAGCAGTTTCAGTAAAATCATTACCTTTTGTGGAATAAGCATGAGATCATTCATTTTATTGCATACTTTAGGCATGCCACTTAGACATGGGGGAAAGTATCTCATTTGCCAAGAATTAGGAATAATAATGAAATATATTTATGATAACCATTTTTTTAGGTTTTCCTAGGAAATGGACAGTTACCTAGAAGTTTGTTTTCCCACTTGCAGAAATAAATGTCCCTTCCCCAAGGAGATACAGTCCCAGGAAAGCAGGAAGTGTGAGAAATGAATTCCTGTTGTCTCTAAGCCACTCATTCTGTGCTATTCTGTTATAGCAGCCTGGACTAAGACAGTTACCAAATTGCGCAGCTAAGACTTAAATACAACTAACCTAGCTCCAGAGCCCATAAATTTAACTACTATTTTATGTCTAGTTATTAGGCTGCTTCTATTTAAGCACCATTACAAATTATAACTGTGACCACACTAAGGAAAATAACTCTCTGTATATCAACATTCCAGCCTCTTTAACTTTTATCTGATAGGTAAAAGTCAAGTCAGTACACAAAATATATATTGTAAAGTCCTCTATACTTTTTGGGTTTGATCCTAAAATCAATAATCAACTTCTTAGCATTGTATTTATCACATAAAAACAAACTAGTTGCTCTGGGGAAGCAACGTTAGATCCGGGAAACATTTTTATCCTCTGAATACAATACAAGTCTCCTCAACATCATTCTTACATTAATTAGAATGAAGTGTTTTTGTGAGATTTCTTGTTCTTTTTCTGCTTAACCTGTGAATTCTTTAAGGGCAGATGGCATCTCTATTTTGTTCACTATGACAAAAGTGTTTAGCATGTGTATACATATTTGCTGAGTAAATAGACAGACAAATGAAGGTGTAAAATATTAAAATGCAAGGGAGGAATGAATCATAGATGATGATTCATATAAAGATTCACTTTCTGGAGAAATACCTTAGATTTTAATATTTTTCTCTCAAAATCAGGTCATTTCTTCACAGCTCTAATGGTGTCAACTTTCATATGAAATATGCCAACAAAGGAGCTCTCTGCATCGCCTCCTGTATCTTAAGTGTGACTTCTGCTGGTCAGAATGACCTCTACCGACCAAAGGGAAGTATGCCCTCATTTTATTCCAGTGCTATGCTAAGTGTCCATCTGTTTGTAAAGCATAAATTTAAATCTCATAAGTTCTGCAGTTATGCCAGAAATTCCCGGTTGCCTTCAAATACATGCATTCCTGGAAGATGTAATTCTGCTTCCGAAGGTCCTGTCTCAAGCTACGCCATTCCTAGAAGAATATGAGTCATAAAGCATGTGTGCATTCTTTACCAACCTGAACGTATAATAACATGAAACAAAGAGATTAAATCAGAAGTTTACTTTCCAGATGAATCCAATGAATGTTTTCAATGACAGCAGACATATGCAAACTTCCTTCGTGTCTGCCAGGGTTCTGCTCATTGTGAAGAGCTCCCAATTTTTGATGCTTCAAAAGCTTTCCTCATTCTCTCCTCTTACCTCACTCACCTATTTCACCTCTTTTCTCCTCCTCCACCCTCCTTGCTCCTCCAAGTACAGCAAACTCTGGATCTGGGTAGTTTGGAACTCTAGGCTCAGTAACTTTATATAAAGGTAGCAGTTTTTACTCCAACAATGCATAACATACTCATGACCTATAACACACTCCCCATGTGATTAAATTATCACCTTTCCATCCCCTACTGCCTGCTGTCTGTCCTCTGGGCAGTTTCATTCCAATTCGCTTCATCCTTCTGGACCACCTTGCCAACAGTCCCATCATCCACTGTGCTATGGGAACCCTAATTCTATTTTAAGCAACAATCTCTCCTCAGTATTACCCATTAAATACATGTCCAAAATCTGTTTCATGGCATACAAATTCCTTCATGATTGGCTCCCAACTTACCTTTCTTACTACATGCATTCACTTTTTTTTTCATTCAACATTTACTGAACACCATTAATGTACCCAAATTCTGTTCTTATTGTTGTAGTTACAGAGGTGATCAAGACAGACAAGATCCTTTTGAAATTACTCACTTTAACCCACTGTGCTGCCACTATTAATTTACAAATCTTTCTCCTTTCTCCTTTTAGGCTACTATATCCCATGAGCTAAAAACAAGGGTCAGGTCTTATTCATCCTTGTATTTATAGCAGCTACCATGGTGCTCATTATACTACAGGCTCTCCAGTAATGTTGATTTGATTGAACCATGTGGAGTGATTTATAATCACTGGCCATTTATGATTAGAGAACTAGTTTTAATAGCTAACATGCCAGGGAATGTTCTTAGTAATGTCCATAGAACTACTAAGTGTTTTTAGTAGTTGTCCAAAACTAAGACTTTTAATCCTCATAACCACTGAGGAAACTATTCCCATTTTAGAGATGTGGAGACTGGGGCACAGTAAAATAACTTGCTTAAGTAAAATAACTCGTCACGTAGCTACCATTAGAGACTGAATCTGAATATTGAAAGGACAGATTAGTACTCTATAAAAAGGACCCCAGAGAGCTCCCGCATCCATCCCACCATCAAAGAACACAACTAGAAGATCCCACATCTATTAACCAGGAGAGGGCCCTCACCAGACACCAAATCTGCCAGTACCTTGATCTTGGACTTCTAAAATTCCAGAACTGTGAGAAGTGAATTCCTATTGTCTCTAAGCCACTCATTCTGTGCTATTCTGTTATAGCAGCCTGGACTAAGACAGTTACCAAATTGCGCAGCTAAGACTTAAATACAACTAACCTAGCTCCAGAGCCCATAAATTTAACTACTATTCTATGTCTAGTTATTAGGCTGGTTCTATTTAAGCACCATTACAAATTTATAACTGTGACCACACTAAGGAAAAATAACTGTATATCAACATTCCAGCCTCTTTAACTTTTATCTGATAGGTAAAAGTCAAGTCAGTACACAAAATATAT